ACGGGCCTCGGTACCTGGTGGGGAAGACAAATGACAATGATAAACACGACAGGCGTCCTGAGCAACACGGGGGTGCTCTGAGGCCTGACTCCACGTGCGTGTGGGCATCTGTACATCGGGGAAGGGGGCCGTGAGGGCTGGTTTCTGAAGAACCGAGGTCCACAGATTGGGACTAGAAGAAAGAATGGGAGTGAGCCGGGAGATGGCGAGAGGCTTGGGCAGAGGAGAGAGGCCTTGGAAAAGCCTAAGACTGGAACGGCACACAAAACATGGTAGTTCAGAGAACAGAAAAGAGCAAAAATGATGTTGGGAAGGCAAGTAAGGGGCCAGGTGGGCAAAGAGATGGCGGGGGGTGGGAAGGGTGGGAGAAAGCCACTAGGGCTTGGCCCTCATCTGGAAGGCCGTGGATGGACTGAGCACGGGGGTGACACCACTGGACCTGGGCTTTTCCAAGCTCCCAGTGACTGTGACAGACACTGCAAGACAGAGTGAGGGGGACACTGTTACGTGAACTGGTTGAGAAGTAATGGAGACTCGGCTTTGATGACAGCAGTGGTGATGGAGAGAAGTGGATCACATATCCACATCTGGAAGAGAGCTAGAAGACAAACGAGCAGACTTGCTATGGGGAGTGGTGGTGGCAGGGGAGGAGGACAGGTCAAGGATAATCCTCCCATTATGGTGGGTGGAGACACCATTTACAAGGTTAAAAAACAAAAACAAAAACCCCAATCCTTTAGCCTTTTCTGAGGCGTGTGGCCTTGACACTTCGGAACTACTTTGACTTCTTCCTCTATGAAAAGGGAAGAGCCACCCTGCCAGGTTGAGAACTACCCAGGGGATCCCTGAGGAGCCCGGAGCCTGACGCCTGGGGACAGTCTCCAGCACATTTGTCTTGCTCCCTCTGCTCTGTCTCCCCATTCCCGGCCTATCCAAACTCAACCCTCTTCTCCGAATTATGAATTATGCCCCGAGCATCTTTGAAGATTCCATACATAACATGGAGCTGGGTTCGAAAACTTAAAAAGAGCAAAGCCGACATCTGTTGCTCGATGGAAATCAAGTCTCTCCCAGGGGAGTCCGTGAATCACTCACTTCTTTGTAGGGCCTCCTGTTCTTAGGGCCCAAAATCTTGCTTTGTGTCATGGAGACGTTTTTCTTTGGGGGAGGCATCGGGTTTGATCAGACAAGAGCCTGTGTACCAACCCACGGCATTTCAGTCAGATCTGGATCTGCCAGGCCGCCTGCAGGAGGTAGTGTGACTCAGCTCACTGGGTCACCTCCCAAGCACCAGGAGCTGCGGTGGGGGAGACGGGGGATAGTGGGTGCAGGAAGATGGTCTGGAAAAGAGAGAAGCTTCTAAATTAAACAGAGATCATCAGAATCTTCTCAACACAACAAAGGGCATCTTTGTTGGTCAACTTCCCTTCCTTTTCCTACAGCTCTGGGTCCACAGTTAGCAGGGAGACCACTGCCTCCAGGGGCTATCACCTTGACTTAGTCCTGGGGCCGGTGTTAGCCAGGCTGACGAGAACCTACGCTTTCTAAGCACAGTGCTGCATGGGTTACTGAGCACTCTGACAGGATTTTATGGGAACCTCATAGCCACCCTGTTCACGTGTGCAGGGCAGGTGCTGGCTGCCCGGGTTCCAATGGGGTCATGGGCAGTTTGTACAAGCACCACTGAACTCCATCCACCCAGGAAAGGCCCGGAGCACCAGGCCCTGGTGAATTCACAGGGAGCATCGGTGATGTGGGGCTTTTGTCATGGGTTCTTCCAGCAGCCTCTCTTCAGGAACCCCTGCTCACTGGGGCCTCTCTCCTCACCAACCCCCCACCCCCGGCCTTCAAGGTTGGACTGAGTAAGCCAGTCTGTCCCGGTATCCTCATTTCCACAGCCCAACAGGAAGCATTTAAGAAAAACCATCACAGGCTTTTCAAAAAAATACAGCTTTTTATTGTTTTGGATGCAAATATAGTTTTAAAACTGCATTGTAGTGTTGAATACAGCTGGTGGAAACGTGCTTCTCGACTGTGGAGCATGAAGGGTCGTGTCTGGATGGCGCAGCCTGAGGGAGCCTCCGAGGGACTAGGCGCCTCGGCTTGCGCTGTTGGGGCCACGAGGGGAGACCGTCTCCGAGGGGAGACCGTCTCCTAGCGGAGCCCCGGCACAATCACCGAAGCGCACAGCAGAAAATAGGAACCATTTACACAATGAACCGGAAGCGGGAAAACGAGGAGAACGTGGTGGCTCGGCCGTGATGTTACAACGTAAGTAGATGAACAAAGTCTCCTTTCCTGGGCCTCCTGAGAAGACTGGGAGAGAACCAGCGGGGCGCTGTGGCGTTGTCGGGGGGAGGCTGCCTTCGAGCCGCCTGTGAGAAACACCATCTGGGGCTGTGTCTCCCGGGCCGAGCCCTTCGGATTCTTCGACTGCGGGACAAACTCTGCGGCAAGGGGTCTGCTCCCCCAACCCTCCACAGTCTCAAGCCTCGGGAGGGCACCCCTCTGTCCAGAAACCCAGAAGAGAGTTCTTCAAATCAGCGGCGCCCACGGTTGACTGTGAAACCAAAAGTTTGACTGGGAAACGGAGGGGAATTCTGCTACATAACTGGGAAGGAATTTCGCAAAAATAAAATTCCATTAAGTGCACACACACAGGTGGGCTTGCGCAAGCACGTGCACGTGCGTACACACACACACACACACACCCAACATGAAAATTCCCTTTTCTTTCTCAAAGGCTGATTTTCACAAACTCCAACAAGGAAACAGCCCCGTGCCTCATTAGCCAAGCAAAGCCAACTCCTCGGAAGGGAATGAAAATGGTGCAGTTGTCGGAGGTACACAGTAGGCCCGAAGTCTTCTCCCTGCTCCTGCAGCTCCTCAGATCCAGGAGGGTCAAGGCCACGGAGACGACCGAATGTTACAAACAGGTGTTGAGCTTCCAAGCTCTTCCACCGTCTAACCCTCTTCTCCCCTCGTCCATGTTCAGACGTGGTGAAGACCCATTCGCAGTATCGGGGCACTGAGGCATCGACCCTGGCCTATGGCTGCCATGTTGCTCCTGCCAGGGTATCCCAGCTCTCTCCCCCAATGAGACCACAACCGAGGGAACACTTGGCAAGGCTGAGTTCCCATGAGCGGTGGGTGGGTTATCATCACTGCCAAAGTGCATAATCGGAGGCAGGAGGTCTCCAGGGAAAGGCAACCTTACACCAGAGAGAGGAGAGAGAGCAGGCCAGCCTGTCCACGGCATGAGGGGTCCTGGGCATGGGGCAGAGGGCACTGAGGACAGCCCAGCACCCCACCGACCGACCGGCGCTTCAGCTAGACGGACAGCTTGTAATCCTAGAAACAACGAACCTGATCCTCCTCCCTCTCTGGTCACTTGCCACCACACCCCTTCACCTGGGGTCACACAAAGAGGGTTGGCACCACCATGGGGGTCCATGCTTGCTCAGAGTCTAAGTTTCCATTTCTATCGCCAGAGCAGGAAAACCTTCAGGCCCAACCGTCAGGTCACAAGGGCAGGAAGCAGATGAAGCTGGGAGCCCAAGGACACATGGACAACCACGGGCCACCCCTCCTCCTGCAGAGGCTCCAGGAACAGGGCGGTGCTGGGGGTTCCCTGCCCTCCAGCCCTTCCTCCTGACAAGAGCCAGTGATGCCTGTTAGCACCTCATTAACTCTAACTTCCGATGCTGGGACTGCTGCTCTCATGTGAGAAAATCTGGCTGGACAGCAGCCAGGATGCATGGGCTGGGGCCCTCCTGGGGGTGGGGGGGGGTGACTGCTGCTGTGCAACCCGCCTGAGATGGGAGGGACGGGCCCACCAACTTTCAGAAAGCCCCATGGTGGCACCTGCCCTGTCCCTCTGTTTCCCACTCATCGTGAAAGAGCAGGCAGCAGTGTGACGGGAGCTGATGGCACAGAAAGATTTCACAGAAATGCTTTTCAAAGATTTATGTGCCAGGCAAGCTTTTTTTTTTTTTCCTTTTCAAATTGATTCTTTTTATTCTCCAAAGTGTCAGCATTTAAAAATTTCTCTTATGGGAGCAGAGGCAGGGGCAGGGGCGAAAACGAGTGTAAACAAAGCACAGCCCTGTGGTCAGCAGGCCCTGGAGGCCTCTGGCAGGGTGGTCTCGCTGTCCCTGTGCCCCCGCTGGGCCCCTCTGTCTGGCCAGATTCATCAGGCAAGATTCCAAAATAAATGATTCTGGGACATGAAACGATCACGTCTGTGGGAAGAGATACAGCTTTGCAGCCCTATAGCCAGGGTAACCGTGAGCACCAAGAGAAATGGATTTAAGTAAATGTCTCAAAACAAAAATATGCATCTAGTTAACAATCTGCCAGGACACACACACGAACACACACACACCCTTCAAAGTCTCACGTGAACTAACAGCCTTAAATATTTAACAAAACAGAATCATGAACATTAATTCAGCAAAAGGAAGAGGAGAGGTAGGCCGAAGAAGCCAAGAGGCCAATTTTATACCCCATAGAGTTAAAACAACAACAACAACAACAACAACAAACAACAACTCCCAGCACAGGGTGGGGAGAAGGCTACTAATTTAGGAGAGGTCTTGGTGGGCCAAGCATTACGGCCATCCGCGTGGTTTACAAAGGCACAGGAACTGGGGAAGGGATGGCGCTCATGACCCCCCACAAGCCCTCACAGCTAGGGAGATCTTGTGTTTTTCCTTCTGACCCTAGTGAGTTCTTACCACGGTGGTCTTCCCCTTTTGAAGGGCGACTTCATGTTTATCCTGGGGTAAAGGAGGAGTTCTCTTACCACTTCCCAGTGGACAGTAAGGATCAGCCCAGACTCGTCTTGTGCTCGCCCCTCAGGGGAGTGAACTGGGAGGCTTGTAAACACGTCTTCTGGAGAGGCTGAGGGGTGCCACCAAGCTGCTCTTGTACGGAGCTGAAGCACAGATGGGAGTGGGTGACGGATTGGTGACGTACAGAGAGACGGTGGCACAGCTGGCAGGTGGTAGGGGGAAGACACCCCTTCCATCCTCCATCAACTGAGGCTGAGGCATGGATGGCTGCCCCCCGAGCACCTTCAGCAGGCCTCCAGGAACCCGCGGGAGCCTCCGAGTAGGTCTAAGTTGCAGGAGGTGGCCCTTGGTAGCCCCCACGGAGCCTACCCCAGAATTTCTGGCCTGCCTGGCACTGCCCAGGCTCCATCTCTGGCAGGGGGGACAGAGGTTGAATGGAAAGACCGCAGACCCTCTGAATTTCACAGCAGGACGTTTAAAAGCACATTCTTTCGACGAGGAGGTACCCCTGGCTGGGCTTCCTGAGTGTTAGAGAGAGCGCCCGCCCTTCCATCTGCACCCCCTCTTGCAGACACGGCAAGAGGTTGGGCCTGGCCACTCCAAGTGCAAGTCCCACGTTCAGAAGCAGCCTGCTGCCCTCAGCTATCCTTCTGCCTTGATCAAAAAGGAGTGTAATTCTTCACCGTCTGATATGGGAGATGCTAGACAGCCCTGAGGCCGGCTGCCTCAGAGCGCTGCCCAGCAACATTCCATTTCTTCCTCCAAACACAACATGGGACAGACTTTGGGTGTGGTGACATCTTTGGTCCGAGAACTGTTATGGTTTGGGACTCCTGGCTCAACAATCCAGACAAAATGACAGCCCACTGACGGCACCAGGGAGTCTGGCCTCTCGGATGCTACACCCTGAGGGCTGTAAGCGTCCCCCAAACGCCGCTGGCTCGTCCGAGGCTGCAGCTTGAAGGAAGGTGGAGAACAAGGGCCACGTGGTGAGGTGGTGCCCAGTGAGTCCCCGCCTGAGTCCCTGCCACGGTTCTCAAGACACTGACGTGTGGCTGCCGCCCGCAGCGCAGCCCGAGGGGTTCCAGGTCGGAGCCACGGCTTTGCACTGCTTGTGCTCTCCTCGCCACGTGTGCACCCACGTCCACTGCTTCCGCCGACGGGGCCTGGGGTTCCCTGGCGGCCCACACAGTGGGAGCAGCCTCCCATGCACGAGCCTGAGCTGCTGTCCAAACCTACTTACAAGGCCAGAGTCTGAGGGAAGAAGGAAGGGGCCTTCCACCTGCCCCCCCAGGAGAGTCAGAGCAGCTCAGGGAATCGCTCAGAGTCATCCGAGGGCCCAGGGCTGACAGGAGCCAGCATCCTACGTCTGAGGACAGAACCAAAGAGGAACCCTTATGCTTCCTAGCTCCCGGGAGCAGGCCGTGACTGTCTGTCCCATCTACTCCCTGCTTAGGCCACCAGTAGGACAGGACACTGTCTGGGTTGCCTGAGGGCAGGGGAGGTCACGACTGAGGTCGCTGAGTAAGAGTTCACAGCAAGGGGTTCCCAAAGACGAGCTATTGCTGTCGGTAGGACCCGAACCTGCTTCAGACCTGAGCGCAGTGTTCTGAGGGGCCCGGTGGGCCGGTAGAGCTGGAGCGGGGCCCTGAGCTCGGCGTCAGGAGAGGCCTGGGGTGCAGCGTCCTCTCTGTGGGCAGGGAAGAGCCTCCATGGCATCTTGTGCAGCCGCGTGCCCGCGAGGCACTGCTAAGACTCCCCCGGTGTCTTGCCGATTCTGGTGACAGCCTGTGCCGCCTGCTCCGGCAGCTGGGATGGGTCCGTCAGTACGGAGGTGGTGGTGCTCAGGTGCCGGAGGGTGCCCAGCACCGCTGCAAGGAAGGGGCAGGTTAGGCCAGGGCCACCGGCACCCACAGCCGCTTTAAGTCCCGCAGTGGACAGCATGCGCGGTCTCCCGCACAAACCCGTGTGGTCATTCTCATGCCACCGGAGGAGATGCACTGAGCACCGCTGAGAGACCAACGCCAGCAAAGCCTCTCGGCTCCAGGATAACTGTGAACCCTGTCTCCTCTCCCAGAGACAAGCAGGGAATCCCAAGCTCCTCCTGTCTGTCCACCTCCATCTCCTCAATATACGCACGCAGCCTTGTCCGTTGTAAGAATTAAATCAGAAAACATACGTGAAAACACCGGAGACGGGGCCTGGTGAACAGCCAGTGCTCAGTCAGCACAAGGGGCCCTGAGCACCTGGATGCACAGGGACGACAGGAAGCAAAGGAGCGGCGTGGGGGGCCAGGCCCCTGTCCTGCAGCTGGCATCTCTGGCTCGGGCCTCCCACACAGCGTCACCTTGTGCCGACGCGGCTGCCCGCGGGGCGCCTGGATCTGCACTATCCACACAGGCCCTCCTCCCCCCGGGACTATCCTCGAGGGTCCCGGCGAGCCCCGGACTCACTCGGCCTTAGGACGGGCAGGGAGCAGTGCTGGTCCAGCCAGGACAGCGCCGTCCGGTGCAGCTCCTCCAGGCTGCTGGTGGACACCATCCCCTTGAAGGACTCAAACAGCGGCTTGATGATGATACTGAACTGCACGGCATGTGGGTTAAAGAAAAGGTAAGCGAGGAGGAGCCGGCGAACACGTAACTGGGGGTGGGAGAATCAAGTCCGGCTACTGGCCGGCCCGTGACCAGCTTCCCCTGGGAGCGGCAAGTAACTGCAGACACTTGGCGAGGGAGTGTGATCCGGGGGAGATGCACCCTCACGTTCCCCTGAGATCTTTCCATCTAACTCTGAGCATCAGCTTAATGACCACAAGAGGCAGGGACAGAGAAGTTTCCTCGGTGTGGGACACGTCCTAGCACTCCGGCATGAAAGCCAGCAGTCTGTGGATGGTGGCAAGAATAGCAGAGGCGGGGGCACCTGGGTGGCTCAGTGGGTTAAAGCCTCTGCCTTTCGGCTCGGATCATGATCTCAGGGTCCTGGGATCGAGCCCTGCATCCGGCTCTCTGCTCCGCAGGGAGTCTGCTTCCCCACCTCTCTCTGCCTGCCTCTCTGCCTGCTTGTGATCTCTGTCAAATAAATAAATAAATAAATTAAAAAAAAAAAAAAAAAGAATAGCAGAGGCGTGGGGTGCCTGAGTGGCTCCGTGGGTTAAGCCTCTGCCTTCAGCTCAAGTCATGATCTCAGGGTCCTGGGATTGAGTCCCGCATCGGGCTCTCTGCTCAGCGGGGAGCCTGCTTCCCCCTCTCTCTCTGCCTGCCGCTCTGTCTACTTGTGATCTCTCTCTGTCAAATAAATGAATAAAATCTTAAAAAAAAAAAAAAAAAAAAGAATAGCAGAGGAGCATCGTAGACCGCAGGGTGGACCGTCTGTTTCTCGTGATGAACACACGTGCTGGCTCTCAGTCACGTTCTGTGTGGGTCTCCCAAACCATCCTGGGCAATCAACTCTGCAAAGGCATGAGGCCCACTGTCCCCCTGATCTGAACCAGTGGACCAGTGGTTGCCCTGGTCCCCCAAGCTGAGGCTGACGATGAGGAACATGCCATTTTACCAAAGAGGCCCTGTCTCACCCCAGCTGCCACCTCGCTCCATCAACGATAAGGGCCAGAGCCAGGCTGAGTGAGCCGGGCAGAGCAGAGGAAACAGAGCTCGAGCGTGCTGTCGGCTCTGCTCCCAAACGGCCGTCTCCTCAGTCTGTCAGCAACAAGGTGAAGACACACAGCCAACCTACCATGCGTGCACATGAGGCACAGAGGTGACTGGAAGGGCACTGACAGGGCAGGAGCTGTCCCCCAGAAGGGCCCTGCTGACATCCGGAAGGCTGAGGGCACACAGGCCTTGGCCCCAGGGACAGACCCCAGCACGCTGGTGAACGTACCTCACGAAAGCATCTAAGACCATGTGGCCCAAGCGAGACAACAGCCTGCAGGGAGCTGGTTTCAAATCCTGACTCTGCCATTCGGTCATTTACGAGCCCCGGTTTCCCGTCTATCCCCCTGGCAGTACTCGAGCCCCTGTTGTTCCAAGGACCGAGATGGCTGCCAGGATGTGCGATCAGATCCTACCTCTTTCCTACGGGATGGCCTCAGCTGGTGGCTCTGGCACCTTGCAATAAAGCATCTTTATTTTCCAAGCAGGCAGAGAGCAGAGCTGGGCTGCTCAACCTCCCCAGCAAGCCCCAAGCCTGGACAGTCACCAATGACAGCCTCACTTCATAGCGTGGGCCAGGCCAGGCCCCTGTACAGTGCCTGTTGGGTGAACTCCACGAAGACCATCTATATGGAATTTCTCGAAAGGAACTGTGGGTAGGGGCTGCTGTTTCAGTGCACAGGGTGGGGGTGGGAGAAGCAAAGAAAACGCAAAGATACAATCCAGAACTTCCAATTCTGCAGGGTCCGGCTCTTCACATACTCATCAAACATGTCCCTCATGTGATCGAACTGGTGCCGGGGGACGGGGACTCCGGTGGCAGGGAGCAGCTGCTGGCAGGAGCTGCAACAACGGAGGGAGCAGAGGATGCTCAGAGCGGCCGGCAGTGAAGCTGGACCCCGGCGCTCCACGTGGGCAGGGCCAGCCGCTGCTGGCCACTGTGGGCCCAGGAGAAAGGCCTCAGGAGGAGGAGGTCAAGAGCCCAAAGCACGACAACAGAGAGACAGCTATGGGTGACAAGGCCACAAACGACCCTCCTGTCTCTGTGACATGCACGCGAGAGGATGAGGTACCAACCCCGGGCCCCACGCCCCCAGGCTCACATGATGGTGGCGTTGAGCTCCTCGATCTCCTCCCGCAGCCGCCGGGCTTCCTCCTGCATCTGGCTCCGCTCCTGCTGCAGCTTGGTGATGTACTCCACGGTCTTCTGCAGCGTGATGGCGTGGCTGGTCTGGGAGAGGGGCGGCAGGGTCACAGCACAGCAGCCACCCTGCCTGTCCAGCTGGCGCCGAGGCCAATACAGGGGCTCCCCGCCCACCTGACACCACTCACCAGCTTGGAATTATTAGAGATCAAACTGTTGAGTGTGTCAAAGCCCATCTTGATGTTGAAGCGTCTTTTCTGCTCAGCTGAAATATGCTTCATCTGCCGGTTCTGTTGGAGAATCAGGCCATCGCTGTGGCACATGGTGCCCCGCAGGGCCGCTGCCCCTCCCTCCCACCTGCGACTCAGGGAGGCAACAGTGAGCAGGACAGGGTGCTAGAAAACCCCACCTGCAGAATGGAGGCCCTCGGCAAGGGCCATGACTGCTGCTGATGAGCACTCCCCAGCCACCCTCGGCCCACTCCTCGCTGACCCAGTTCTTAGAGCCGCCACCTCCCGCATGCTACAGGGTTCGGGGCTGGTTCCAGGGCTCAGGGCCACCTAGCAGGTGGGGCAACGGGAGGAGCCGCCAACCTATCTCCAGATTAAGTAGCAAACATCCAGGTTCCTGATGCTACCTTAGCCTGCTGGAACATCGGCGAGGTCTGTGCTGCTCCTTTCCTGTGTGTCCCTAGTAAGGGACACAGCAGCCCCAGTGGTCCCTTGATATTCTCCTTGCCCCTACCCCCATCCCTCCAAGGAAATCAAGCCCCAAGAGAGACCTGTGATACCTTTAAAGCAGCCACATTTTTGGGGTCTGCAGATTTCCCTGAGCAGTTGTTCTGGGGAGACTGGGGACTGGGGCTCTGCTCTGAAGCACATGGAGAGGCCTGCCCTGAGTTTGGGCCATCTCGACCTGAGAAGAACAGAGACTCCTCTTAGGACACGGCTGGCCACAGCAGTTGAAGCAGTGCCCACCAAGGAAGGGAATCCCAAGTCCCAAACCTGGAAACCCATCTGAAACCTCCCCCAGTGACCCCAGAGCAAAAACTGGAGAAATCCTTGCCAACCTCCCAAGGAATGTTCTGTTAGGTGTGGACAAGGCCTGATGAAGGCTGGCTGGACGTGGGGTGGCAATACGGCCTGAGCTTGGCCAGCCATAGCTCTTGGGGCATGGAGAGTTCCGAGAGGAGGCCTGACTGCTAATGCAACCTGTTAACAGGCCACCTGGAGGCCTCTGTGAGCCTCTTACCCTGTGTGTCCAGTACACAAAGCTGTTCATTCTTGCTCTTTCAACTCTACATTTTCAATCTTGGTCCACTCCCATGCCAGCCGTGCCCTGGTCACTGGCAACTCGCAGGAGGCCCCTGGAGTCGCCTAGGGCTGCCCCGCCCGCCTGCCCAGAGAGCCTCCGTGCACTCCTTTCTGCGGCGCTGACCACCTCCCTGCCTTGCTGCTCAGTTTCCCATCATGGCTCCAGTGCCCCGTGTTCTGCGTCCCGGCAGTCAGGGTACTGCTACGCTTCCTGAGCCCTGACGCCACCGTACGGGCCTGACCTGTAACCAACCAGTCTTCGTCTTTAGCTTTCCAGGCTGGAGGCCCTTATTCATCCAGCCTCCCTGGACAAGTCCCTCCACGGTCTCATCTGTGTAGACAGAGACCAGCCCTGCTCGTCTCCTGGACTGTTCAGCGTGGAGCTCCAGCAGTGGCCATGCCCAGCTTTTACTTGAGACAAGGCACCTTTGGTCTCCCTCCCCAGTGGGCATCTGAGAGGAGGAGGCCTAGGTTCTGGTTCTACCCCACCACCAGGGGCACAGCCTCGGGCAACTCCTTTATCCCGGGCTCCACGGCTCTTCACTGGGCACAATCAGTTCTCCCCCGACCCTCCTGCCGATGGAAGATCCACGGTGTGGAAATGGGCTCAACAGATGTGAGGGGCTTGAAAACTAAGGGATGACCACATTGATGTGGAGACAAGCCTAGGTGGTTCCCGTTTTCTGGAAAGCGTTGACAGCCTCAATCCCTTTTCTCAATCAGAACCGGCAGCTCAGAGCCAGGCCTTTCTGAGGGGGGTCAGAGTGGTGTTCCCCAAGTGCATCGGTCGCCTGCCCTGCACACGCTTGCCCCTTTCCTGCTCCTGGGGTGAGCTGCCACTGGCTGAGCACTCCCCAGCGTGGGCCACGGGCAGGCTTCTAAGACCTCACTGCACAGTCCAGCCCTAATCCTGGGGAACCCCATGGGCGGTCTCCCTGACCACGCGGGCGTGCTCATTTCACTCACGAAGTCCCAACCGTTCCGACTGCAGCGCACACTCACTGGAACCCGTGGCCGGGACCTGCTCGCCCTTCACCAGGGCGTCTTGCACTGTGCTTGGAGAGAAGAGCCGAGAGACAGGGGCCGGCTGGCTGCTCGTGGTGTGGCCAAGGTCTGTCACCAGGATGCCACTGTGGAACTCCGTGACTCCAGGAGCCTGAGGTGACACAGGAGAGGGAGGTCACCCCCAACCACAGTCGTGTCAGATGAGAACCACCCAAAAGCAGGGCCATGTTGGGGTGATAAGGATACGGAGGGTCTGCCTAGGGCCTCCTCACCCGGGCAATAGCAGCGGGCGTGAGGACCACATTGGACTGGGACACGGTAGAAGCCAACATCCCTTCTCTCTTCAGAGGGCCTGATGTCATAATCACTGCTTGTGGTTGTCCTGAAAAGGCAGCTGCCAGAACAAGAAGTGACAGTGAGGCCTGGAGTTGCGGGGCTCTGCTTCCAACACGACTGCTGCAGAGCCCAGGCCTGTGGGGCCCCCAGGAGCAGCACAGACCCCTCCCCTGCTGCTCAGACGTCACCTCTCTCACCATAGGCCACAGAGAGACAAAACCACTCGTTTTGTATCTGACATCTGTTTTGCAGCTTCTCCTCAAAGAGGACAAATTACAGGCCCAGGAAAGAGATCACCTGGACCGCGCTTTTTCAAATTGGGTTGAGACTAACTTGAAAAGACCACCACAGAGTAGACAACAGACTAGATCACACACATGTGGTAGATTGGAACACTTTCGTTTCACAAGTGTGTGTGTGTGTGTGTCACAAGTTTGTAAGCCTTGGAGACAGGGACATATCCTCCGGGAAGGGGAGATCAGACGTTGGCTTCCTTCCACCTGACTCACCTGGGGCGATGCAAGCATTCTTCAATACCACGGACACAGACTCTGGTTTGGGAGCAGGCACTATTTTGGGGGGCTGCTTGGGCCTTCCCCCAGTCAGAGAGACAGGTTTGGGGTGCACAAATGTTAAACAGGGTTGGGGAGGCCCAGCGGTTGGCGGCCGGGTGACCGGAGGAAGCGCCAGGCCACAGGGGGACACCGAGGGCGTGGGATGGTGGGTTGTGATGACAAGGCCCTGGCTCTGGCTGAAGGTGGTGGCGGATGCATCATGGGTGAGGGTGGCAGAGGCCGTGTGTGTGATGACGGAGGGCGACTTGCTGGCTCCAGCAAACTTCGGCTGCAGGAAGGTAGGTGGAGCTGAGGGGCTCAAGGCAGGGGCAGGGGGCGGGGCTAAAGGGAGGGCAGGAGAAGCAGGTGCTGGGGCAGGGCTGGGAGATAGCAAGGGCATGGTGAACACGGGCAGGAAAGGCTGAGGGACATTCAGTGGTGGTGCAGGGGGACCGAAGTCTGTGGGCTGGATAAAGGGGTCTCCAGGCCGGGGAGCTCGTTCGCAGCCCTCCCCATCCGTGGCATCCAGGGCAGTGGCTGCAGGAGGTGCTATGAGGCCATCAGGGAGGCTCACGGTGGGGAGCGCTGTGGTTGACAGGACGTTCTCCTAGGAAAGGAGGACAAATGCTGGATCACACAAGTCGCTGCTCACTTCCTGGTACAACACACCCACAAAGTCCAACAACGGATGTTGGGCACCTGAGCAGAACCTTCCAACAGAGGGACAGGGCGATGGCTCCTGTCCCCATTCCTGCCAATCTGGGGGGAACGGAGCTCTGTCTCTCCAGGCGTCCATAGGGGTCTTGTTTCCATTAAGGACTAAATGATAACACGGAGCTCAGACAAAGTGTCTGTCTGCACACAGTTGGCTCTGGGCCTGGGAATATCCTATTTCTAGAGTACAGCAGGGGTCCCCCCAAAGTCCCGGCCATCTTCTGTTACAGAGCACAGGCAGCCTGGAGCACAGCTGCTCATGGGGTTCCCTCAGGACAGTTTCATGTATCAACTTCTAGAGGTCACCTCTTCCTAAAAGGGAAATGCTATAAGGAATCAATTGTCAAGATCTCAGTCTCTATAGAAGAAATTCTTCCCAGAGCCAGATGGAAGAAGATGGGGCCAGGTTTCTGTGTCTAACCGGATACGGGTACCAGCCTCAGAGCCCCTGCAGGCAAAGAGCCGTGCCTCACTCGGCTCTGCAGCCCCAGCGGCTGATAACCAGCCTGTGTTCATTGTTAAGTAGAAAGTAAAAGAGGAACTTCTTTTTACAGAACTTCTGTTTATTAGCGATCCATGTTTTCCTTTGCTAATTCTTTCTTAACTGGTTAAACAGAGCTCACTGCACACCGGTTATGGGGAGCTTCAGGCAGGAGCCAATGTTTATAGATAGCTCCTACCTTGTGGAGATCTATGGCTGCTTTCAAGGAGGGCTAGAATAACTTTTTTACACTTCGTGTGTGTTTGTTCAGCACTAGAGCTAGCAAGCTGTAGCACTCTGCTTATGACTTTCTCACAGTTACTCATTAGTCTAGCCCTGGCCACCTCTCCCCAGTTCCCTCTACCTGAGCAGGTGGACTGTTGGGATCTGGTGCAGGTGCTGAGACAGGAGCAGGCAGCATGGAACCAAAAATGGAGCGGCTGGAAGAGAAGAGGTCTGAAAGACAACATTGGGTGCTTTTAAGCTCTATGTGCCCATCATATCCTTGAATTAAGATCCAAATAAATCGAGCACTGAACCCCATCTTACCCAGAGGAATGCCATGGCCAGAGAGCATCCCCCGCCTGAGGTAACTCTGCAGAAAGAGGCCCTCTAATTGGAACCGCTCATGCTGGCAACTAGTGTGGGGTCTGAAATACTCCCAGGCCGGGCGTTTGGCAGCTCTTATGAACCCAGTTCTAACCGCAGGACCCTGCTGGGAGGCGGCTGTGTTGCCAGCGCCCTCTGCTGCCTATAGGGAGAACTGCTTACGGTCCTGGGCAAACCTGAGGATCTGAGTCCACAGGAGAATGGTGATTCTCTTTAAGAGAGAACCCTGCTGCAGAAAAGCTTCCCAGACCTCGCAACTACTACCAATATACATATACATATACATATACATATACACATACATATACATATACTTCTGAAAAATTCTAAGTACTCCCTCTTGCCCATTCTAACAGTTCCCTCTATGAAAAGGAAACACCAGTGTGCTTTATCCTGGGCAAAGGGAGATCAGGTGGCCATGCTCTCTTCCTGCCCCATGTCCTCACCCTGGAAGGGTTCGAAAGTGTCCATGAAGTCCAGGTTGGGCTGCAGGGGAATCAGCCCCGGCTGGATCATGTCTGCATTTCCCAGATGTGCTGTAAGAATCAGAAAGGAGACAAAGGAATCATTCTGCCTTCTCAGACAATGTTGCGGAAACACATACAAGGCCTGACTGGATCCTCCTGGCCCTGTTCGGATTCTTCCAAGGAGATGTGCAGGCGGCTGGCAGGAATTTCTACCTTCTTGTGGGTTTGAGGCTATTCTCCACCCACAGAAGGCAGGAAAGAAAGAGAATTTTTTAAGAAAGATAAAGTGTCAGGGAACAGATACTGCCGGGATGCAGAGATCCCCAGTTCTAACTGGTAGTCTGTGGGCTCTTCCCTGAGGGGTTAACTGGATGCCTGACTTCAGCCAGGCAAAAGGTCGTGCCCAGGAATGCTTCTGATTTTCTTCCCTGTCAGTCAAGGGCCCTGTCAGTTGGCCTAAGCACAAAACCTCTGCTAAGGGGACAGTGTCAGAAATGTGAAATTGATTCAGACCAAATCCCAGTCTTCTTGCAGGGGTACCATGGACCTGACAGCTGCCCAGGAAGGCCCATTTGCAGTCTCCACCCACTCAGTGCATGTGGCCCTCAGATGCCAGCAAGGTTGGCCAATCCTGCCCTGGGGGGCCAGGTTACGGGGGCGATGCCAGAGAAGGAAGCCTGCTGTGTGTTCAGGGTCAAGGATTTAGAGATGGCTTACCTATTTCCCGGGGGTTGGGCCACGCCACCGGCTGGTGTGAGGAAAGTGTTGAGAAGAGGGTGTCACTGAATTCCGACATGAGCATGTCTGTGTCCAGCAGTGGGTCTTCCTCCATGGGGACTGGGGTCTTCCATCCATCCCCACGTTTGTGCCAATAAAGCATGTCATCATCCTACCACCAACAGGGACAGGGGGAGGGACAAAAAATCAGAGGGGCACTAGTGAACTCAGAATTCCTGATCACATCATGTTACCCTATCGGAGAGAGCTGCAAGGGCTGCTGTAAAACATGAGGGGAGCATGTGGAGCAGGGAGAACTGGCCTGTTTCCTTAGCCTGCATGTCCTCCGTGTGAGAAGGGAGGTGGCCCCTCCTGGAGCTGCAGGGACAGTCTTTGTCCCCACAACCTCCTACTGCAGGCTTCACTGTCGGGCCACCCACATCATTCCTGTTTCTTGTCAAAGGAGGGCTCTCGTGAGGGTCCTCATGGCCCCTAAGCTCACTCACCTGGGCCAGGCTGGAAAGGTCCTCATCCTTGTGCTGCTGTAGCTGTGGAGAAAAGGGGAGACAAGGTGGTCACCCAGGGTCCTGGGAGAGGATGAGGCCCTCAGCCTCTCCTCCAGGAAGCATCTAGGGCTCATCTCCCTGAGAGGCACATGAGAGATCCTGCTCTCTGCCGTTCCCAGGCCCATGCTGGGCACAGAAGAGATTCTCAACCAGTGTTTGTGAGGTAACTAACAGCCGGAGAAACTGAGACCACAGATAACTTAGCCAAAGCAGGCCCATCACTTGGGCTGGGTTCCCCGGGGCCAGCGACGGAGCCACAGCCTTGGGGAACAGTGTTAGAACATAGACTTAGATCCTCCCTCCCCTATGGTGCTTCCTGAACATGCTGTTCTTGGAGTCCAAGCCAGATACCCTTTTCTTGAAGTAGGTTCTCCACTTGTGATACTCCCGGATCACTATCTCGATGCGGCTTTTCCAGTACTTCCCTTCCGTGGTGATGGCCTGTGAAGAGATATGGGTCGGAATCAAAAGAGGGCAATCTAGGTTGATTGGCAGAACTTGACCTGAAAATAAAGGCTAGCAGTCAGCCCTGGGCAATCCAATTCAGAGAACCCTACCACATGCACATAACTTCATTCACAAAGTGTGTCCCACCCCAAAGACGGGCTTTTATTTCATGACCTCAGATAATGAAGTGCGTCTTCGGGAGTACGGCTCCTAAGGGTCTAGACTGGACCATGGGTCAGAGAGTGCTTGGGCGGGAAGAGGGAAAGGGCGCTCCACCCAGGCACTGAAAAAGCCCTACAAAGAGCCAGGGGTAGCACTAAATGCCCTTATCCAGGAGACTCTGCCACATTTTCAAAGGGTGAAAACAAATGGCCAATCACAGAAGTTTTAGATGGAAAGTGACTTCCAAGAGCAGCTACTTCAAACTTTCCATCACGCAGGGGAGCCCCTTCCACGATATGCCTGAAGAGCTCTGGTGTCAAAGAAGCTACAACCTCCTCAGAGAGCCCACCTCACTTTCAGGCTCCTTTTTGTTTATGGCTGGAGTATATATATATATATATATTTTTTTTTTTTTTTAAGATTTTATTTATTCATTTGACAGACAGAGATCACAAGTAGGCAGAGAGAGGCAGGCAGAGAGAGAGAGGAGGAAGCAAAGCAGGCTCCCCACCGAGCAGAGAGCCCGATGCGGGGCTCGATCCCAGGACACTGGGATCATGACCTGAGCCGAAGGCAGAGGCTTTAACCCACTGAGCCACCCAGGCATGGCTGGAGTATATTAAAGCAAGTCCCACACATCATAAGGCCCATATAATTTCACCTAACAATACTTCATTATGTGTCCGACAGTAAAGAATCTTCACAGTGAACAATACAATATTATCACCAGAACCAACAAAATGATATTCCTTAATATTGTCCAATACCAGATCATATCCCACCACCAAAAGGGTCTTTCACTGAGTCTTTTACTTTCTAATTGTTCCCCCTTTTATCCTAACAGTAAGACAGGCTAGGATAACATTAAAACAACACAGGAGGGTATAAAGGGTATCCGCTTCACTCTAATCACCCTCCCCAGAAGCAGCACCCAATAAAGGATTTCAGTGTATCCTTCTAGACTTTTCCTACACACACATAATCACGCAGATACACGCTTTAAAAAAATTAACATAAAGTTACTAAAATACTGTTGTACAACTTTTTTTTTTTCATTTACTATTTCTTCAGCATCTTTCCATCTCCACATAGAAAGATCTTGAGGTCATTCTTTAACTATTAAAGATAACTGCCTTGTAAGGAGCCCAGATCTCTCCCTTGACTTCCAGAGAAAGGCCAGTGTTAAGGGACAGTGGAGAGTAAGTCCCAGCGGGAGAACCCCTGAGTGCTGTGGGTCAGCCCAGCCTAAGAAGAGGGGAGCCTCTGTGGGCTGTCACAACATCAACATGGTTGCGGGGCGGCGCAGCCAGACCTTCTCCCCACACCACCCCGACTGCTGCAGAATCCAACCCCTGCTCCGAGCCCTGGGAGAGTGGCTTCCTCCTGATGAGGACAGATCCTTTCCAGCTACTGATGGCCACAAGCCAAGTACCTCCGGCCTGCGATGCTCATCTACTTCAACAGAGCCATCTAGTGGAGTGACAAAGTGGCACACAGGATTCTTGCGCTTCTCCAAATCTAGGCAGAGAAAGGATGAGACATCATCACTATGACCAAGACCCCTGAAGGAGCCCTTGCCTCCTCTGTCCACATCCCCCTTAGAGCGGGACCCTCCTAAGTGTTCTTTCCTTCTCCTTCTCTTGAAAATGAGATTTCAGAGTATAAAGGAAAAGAATCTGTCAGTAACTCATGGGTAAGAACCCAAGGGTTCAGTACTCATGGGTCAGTAACCCAAGCATGCCCCAACCCAAAGATCATTGGATCTTCTGGCATGAAGCCAGGTGGAGAATGAACATGGCCTGGGTCTGTATCTTCTTCGACCTGCTGAAACAGGAACTGTTCCCTGACTCTTCAAATGTCCCCTCTGCTACAACATCCTTAATTCCCCTGGAGAGAACTAAGCCCTCCCACCTCTGCCTTTACAACCTGGACCCAAGCGTCTAACCTAATAGTGAGCACGTTATGCTGTGAGCACTGGGCTAACACATCTGTCTCCTGCAGATTATGGGCAACTACACGACACAGACCACGTGACGGGCCCCTGGGGCCTGACACCTGAGAAGTACCTAGTTCATTAGGATTTGGCTTGGTTTTCCAATTGCTGCAGACTCCCCAAGAGAGGCTTCCCTTTGAGGCATCGTGTTTGAAAAGTGGGCTCTGGGCCCCAACGTGAACCTGGAAGTCCCACCCACCACAAGGCCTCTGGCCCCAGCAGGCCCCTCCTGCCAGAAGCCTGCGTAGCACTCACACTGCATGTACCACGCCCGCCAGATGGCATTATTGAGCCGGATCTTGTCTCTCCACTGGAGCTTCAGGCCCTTGAAATTCTTCCACTTGGGGGATACCAGCTTCCCACTGAAAGATAAGACAAAGAAGGGAAACTTAGTGGTTCCTCTGAAAATGAAATGAAATCGAGAAGTGCCACCCACTCACTCCAGGCTTCAACATTCTGGATTAAGCCATCATAAGAGACAGGCTAGGCTTCACAGAAGATACCAGTCACTTTGGGATTTCTTCAAAGTGATCAGCAGTAGGGAAAGGGGAGGTGGGAGTGGGGGTGGTGACAGTGTCAGTGCACAGAGGGGAAAGGACTGGCCACGCATTGGTAGGTGCTGGAATGGGACGATGGCACATGGGTTCACGGTCTTAGTCTGCCGATGTTCACCTGTCTTTTAAATTTTCCTAATTAAAAGTTAAAAAAATCTTTTGATTTTTCAATATATCAGATCTCCATGTTGTACACCTTACCTCAGCTTATGCAATGTTGTAGGTCAATTACAACCCAATAAAGCAGGGGGTGGGAGGAAGAAAGAAAGAAATCTGCCAGCAAATAAGTAAAAGCCAAGCTCCTTTACCCTGGTCCACCTCCTTTGTCACCAGTCCCCAAAAGGCATTTACAATGCAGGCACACAAACCATCCCATTGGCCTTTGAGCCTGTGGGACTCTCTCCTGCCTCCAGTCCTGTGCACCCATGGTCCTAACTCCTCACGGACCTCCTTCTGCCCCCTCCTCCAACACCATCTCCTCCGTGCTGGCAATGGCCTCCCCCCTAGGCTGCTGATGACTCCTTCGGGGTTCCCTGAGCACCGCTCAAACTCAAAGGCGGCACTCAGCCACCCTCCACAGGGCAGTATCCACACCCACAGCTGCATGTAGTACCTGCAGCTCACCGAGGAGAGGACCTGTTAGGTGTCACCCCCCTAAGCACCTAGCAGAGACCATGGCACACAGCAGGATCTGGAAATAATTCTTCTCTGGATGAGCTAAGGAGCCCTTGAACCCAGCCACCCACAGGCGAGTCACTCCCCAGTGGCATGGGCTTCTCAGTCTAGTTTGCCAAGCGCTGTGTCAGAAGCCACCTTCGGGCAGGGCAGCTGACACAGGGCTCCTTTTTTCAGAAGGCTTGAGAGGGACAAGGCAAGATCTTCAGTCCGTGCCCTAGTGGGTTCTGGTGGTTCTACCCGGCTGTGAGCCACAGCCCTGCCTCTTCTGCAAACCCACTCAGAAAGACCTCGTGAGGAACAGCAACTGGTCTCCAAAGACAGCACCCAAGCCGTAAGCCCTGTGTGAACCTGCGAACCTGGCTTAAAAGCAAAGCCCCTGGCTGGGCACCTGGCAAAGACCTCGTGCCTCTCCCACCTATCCCAGTGAGCCGGGGTTTGGATCACACGGAGCAGAAGGCTGGGAGTCCCAGAGAGAAAAACGCCTCAGGATGCCCTCACAGAGTCTGAGGGACAGACAGAGCAACAGTCTCAGCTCAAAGGGTTGGATATTTCCAACCCGTCAGACACCTCCTTTGCCACTTCTGCTCCGTCTGAAGGTACTCCTAAGCCACCTCCAAGCAGTCTGCTCGCCCTCAGCCTCAGCAGCCAGTGGCTAGGCCTCAAGCCTCTGCAGCATCGCATGTGCACGAGGCAGCTTTGCAGTCAGGTAACTTGTCTGACACCCAGTTACCTGGGTAAACTCAGGATAATGCCATTTCCTCCTGAGCGTTTTGATAAGGATCGTGTACATATACATATACACTTAGACACATATAACTGGCAAACCCTACCGCAAAATACGTTCTACGTAACCATCTCAACTATCTGGACTTAAGTTACTACTGAAAGGCCTGAGTTTTAACATCATCTGACTTGAAAAGTTCTTTGTGTTTGCCTCCACTGACATGTGGCTCTTCCTCCCCCAGGGGAGGAGAAAGGTGACATCCGCAGGCCCACCCTCGATACCAGTGAACAAAGACCAGGACAGAGGGCAGCCTTGTCTCAGAGCTTGGAAGGCAGAGACCCTCACTCATGCATTCGACAAGGGACAAGCGCTACAAATGGAGGAAAGGAACAGATGGGGCACATGAGGCCCCGCCCCTGTGCTGAGGGTCAACAAAGAGCAGAGGGCTGTGGGAGCACAGAGTTGCATAACCAACCCAGCCTGAATAGTCAGGGGAGGCTTTCTGGAGGATGTGACATCTCAGCTACCACCTAGAAGATAAGGAAAAGGGCTTAACCTTAGCCAGGGAGTGACCCCTGCTGCTCTTCTGCAAGCCGGTGGTGGCCCTGAGGTGAGCAACCACACACCCGGTCTAGAGCTCCTGCGGCGGCGGGGGGGGGGGGGGGGGGGGGTGCGGCACTGGACCCCAGGGGGGAGAGCAGAGCGCACGGCAGAGTAGATTAGGTCCCACAGCTTGGCAAAACCAACCCTCTCTCCCCTCTTCTGTAAGACCTTCCAGCAATTTGGTATCTAGCTAGGCAGGTGGTTCCCAGAAACAAAACAAAACGGAAAACTGTCCCTGTTTTTTAATTTCCTTAAAGGGAGAAAAGACACTTTTTCCGTAATTGACAGCTTTCTCATGCTGAAGCCAGCATTCAAAGGTCACTCTCTCTGTGGAATCCTTCAGGGTGTTTGCTGCTACACAGATGACCGCGGAGGACAGAAGCAGAAGGGACGCCATGCGAATGAGGACTCCAGGGAAGAGAAAAACCTTTGGTGTCCTGCAGTGCTCTGTAAGAACCAACCATTGTGCTTAACTACAGACCAACTCTCACCCCTGCTTTGTTAAGAAAAAGTGGCTGATGTGGATGTAAGACCATCTCCTCAAAGATGTCAGATCATGCCAGCAGCTTCGATTTTATAAAATGAAGAAGGGAAGATACAAAGGGAGCTAAACTCTGCGAGCTAGAAACCAAACTGGACAGGGGGCAGTTTGGGGTTCTCCTCTTCTTCCTCCTTGCCTGCTCAAATGGTTTACTTTTCCTTGATGTTTACATCAAATTTGGTCAAACCTCAGCACAAATATGTAGGAATCCAGAACGTACAACTGCTGTCCCATTGTTGTCCCAGGTTTCTGTAATATCTGAACAGTCAACAGGTGGTGCTCAACCAGCACGAAGAAGTGAGTCCAAAACCCAAACCCAACCTGCCCACAGAACTAGAGACAGTGAAAGAGCACTGTCTAGGATGTTTTTTATGGTGACTGACCACTCCTGGTCCATAGAAATTTCAAGACAAGGTCTGAAAAAGCAGCACAAAGAGTTCTATATATCAAAGTACTACAGAGAAAAAAAGGGTTCCATAGACACATTTTTAGGAAAACGGGGGGATAAATTTCTTTAAGTCTCCTCACTGATGGGCCTCTCAGAGCCTTTGGTCCGCTGATGTCACCATAATCTTCAAGGAGGGAAGAGGGGACATTCCTTACGCAGACATCCACAGACCAAACCTGGACTGGGACCCTTATCATGGGGGGCACCCAAAGTCTAGTTTCCCAGGGAACACACTGGGGATGGGTTGCTCTACACACTTGTAAAAGGGACTCGCAGCTCCCTTGGCAGAGCTCTCCAGAGCAGGGGCCCCAGAAAGCGTTTGTAGTCAGGCTTCTGCTCCCCCAACCCTGCCCCAGCTTCACTCATCCTCCAGAAATGGCTGGTGGGGTCCTTCTTGGTCTAACTCAAGAGTATGCTACTTTCCTTCCTTTTGGAGGGGAGGGGGCAGATGGGGACGGGGAGAGAGAGAATCTTAAGCAGGTGCCCAGCACGGAGCCCAACACCAGGGCTTGATCTCATAACCCTGAGAGCACGACATGAGCCAAAATCGAGCCAGATGCTCAACTGACTGAGCGACCCAGATGCCCCACCACATTCCTTCTTTAAAGAGTAACCAGAGGGGCGCCTGGGTGGCTCAGGGGTTTAAGCCTCTGCCTTCGGCTTGGGTTGTGATTTCAGGGTCCTGGGATCGAGCCCCGCATCGGGCTCTCTGCTCAGCGGGAAGCCTGCTTCCCCCTCTCTCTCTGCCTGCCTGTCTGCCTACTTGTGATCTCTTGTCTGTCAAATAAATAAATAAAATCTTAAAAAAAAAAAAAAGAGTAACCAGAAACACATGACAAAAATTTTTAAGACCACTGGCTTCGCCTCAATAAACAAAGCCCTCTTCCGGCCTCACCTCCCCAAACTGCCCTCCTACATACCCCATGGGCTTCCCTGTCAGAATAATGATCCCGGATTCTCCCCAAACTTCGGGAAGGCCAAGGTCTAGGGCTGACTCATCCCAGCACAGTGCCTGGCACATGGGAGGCGCTTTTAAATACGGAGCTACTAAGTGACTGTTAGCCTTCTCCATAATGACAGATCTTCACACTGCCCTGTCACGGACACTCTCCCAGAAGACAGGCTCACCGCCTGACACAGGTAATTCAGAGTACAACAAGGGTCTCTCAGAACTGTTGGGGAGGGGGGCGCCTGGGGGGGCCCAGTTGATTGAGGAGCTGACTCTTGGTTTCGGCTCAGGGTCATGGATGGAGCCCGGCATGGGGCTGGCTCCATGCTCAGCAGGGAGTTTGCTTGAGATCCTCTCTCTCCCCCTCTGCCCCTCCCCACCTCAAATACATAAATATATCTTAAAAAAAAAAAAAGACTGTTGTTGGATGGACTAGCAAACTGAACTCTTCAGAGGTCTGGCAAGAGACTGCTTTGGAATGGAAATTAAAGTGCAAGCTTTACACAGACAGGAGCTGAAATTAAGAAGAACTGGGGGTAGGTGGGTCCAAGAGGGGACTTTTGTATTCTGTCCGTACCAGGTAGGATTAGCTCCTAACTCCCAGTTGGATCATTCTCTCCAAAAGAAAGCAGGCAGAGGGCTCTAGGATCTGTCGCTACAGGTCCCAGAAGAGTTGGGGGGGGGCCCCATTCATTTGTTCACTGAACTATCCTTGCTTGTTATGGGGCCATATTTCTTCCCCATTCCTCAAAATGCTTCCTGGACACCCAATAGCAAGTTATCCCTAGCCCTGCCTCTCCTTTATTCCCACCCAGCTAAGCAGCGTGGGTTATGTCAGCTGTGAGTGTAGGAGGAGGAACCAGAG